GAGGAGAGGTCGGGGAGGGGACCCTTTAAGGGCCCCACCCCCTACGTGGCTCATTCCCCTCCACGCCGCGCCCGTAGCGCTTCGCCCCGATTGCGTCCCTGCCCGGTGTGCGGAGAAGCAGGTGTGAGCAAATTTAGGGGGAGAACAGGAGCGAGCAGACCCCTGGCAGGTCCCATGCCCACCCCCATTCCCGCCCCGCATCCTCCCAGCTGCCGGGCGCGAAACTCCGCGGGGACAGGGAAGGAGGTCAGCGTGCATTAATTAGCTCTACGGGGAACAACAACAGTAATAATAATCCATCTGGAATTTGCATCCTGTTATGTAGCAGAGCCTCTCTCCTCCTGCCCCTCGCCTTACCCCGCTGAACACACCCAGGTGACAGTCCCAGCCCCCACCCCCTGTCAGAGGCCGGGTCTCAAACTTTTGGAGCCGAGAGCTCCACCCACCCGGAGTTCGCCTCTGCCCGGTGTAGATAAAGGCTGTGGAGAGCCACGCAGGAGGAAGTGGCCAGATTAGGGTGGCCTGAGAGTTCTGCACTGCAGCTAGCGGGGTACGCCGTCCTGCCACCTACCCAAGAGTCCTCCTCCTTCCACTGGGGCTGAGCTAATGAGATGCTCACTGAAGCGGGGGACAGGGACCTAGCCCAAGGTGGCAGAGGCTGGCGGTTTGTAGAATGAAGTCATCTCACAGTGGAGCAACTGATGCCCAGAGGAGCCACAGGGCCAGGGCACAAGTTCAAAGTCAAGACTTTCTCTCCGGAGGTCAGGCCGTTGGGCTCTCCAGTGCTGGGTGACACTGCCACCCGTGACTGCCAGGCATTTACTATCTGTCCTGGGTGCCAGGCTCTAGGATAAGGCTCTAGGCTAGGGCAAGAGCACAAGGCCTAGGGCGCTGCCAGACAGCAACTTGGGTGCCGCCCCCCCAGATGGGGTGCTAGAGAAGGTCGCAGCGGGCATGTTCCTCCCACCCACAGGGCCAAACCTAGGGTCACAGCCCTTTCCAGCAGCAGCAAGCACCTTCAGAGCCAAGGGTGCTCCTGAAACCTTCCGGGGCTGCTGAACCGGCCCCCTGCCCAGAAACGCAGCCCTGGTGCAGTGTTGGCCTTTGGAACAAGGCTGACCTGCAATCTGCGTTTTGATGCTGGGACTGAGGCAGGCTGGAGGGATGCTGGGAACTGGACATCAGCTGGTTGAGCCAGCTGGACAGCAGGCCACAGACTGCATTTGAGGTCAGAATTCTTTTTTTTTTTTTTGGTCTTTTTGAGACAGGGTCTCACTATGCAGTTCAGGCTGGCTTTGAGCTCACTTTGTAGCCAAGCTGGTCTCGAACCCACAAGGATCCTCCTGCCTCAGCCTCCAGAGTGCTGGGATTACAGGTGTGTGCCACCACACCCGGCTGAGGTCAGAGTTCTAAAAACCCAGACAGACCTGGAGGTGGGAACTCAGGAAAGTAGAACCCCTGAGACAGCCCGTTCCCCACAACTGCTGGACCAACTTTATTCCAGCTTACAATATCAGTTCATGGAATTATACTTTTTTAATGATTCAAGAGCAATTGATGGGGTCTGATGGGAAGCTGGAGACAGTGTCAGTGGGAAGGGGGTTAAGGCGTGCACGACTTTGTGAGCTCACCAAGATGGCAGCAGTTCTTCCTGCATACCTGATTGCTGGCTGCTGCTGGCTGCTAACAAGCACTTGGAGCCCTCCTGCAACACCTACTTCCTCCCCTGATTGCAGTGTAAACATGGCCTCAGGTCTTCTCAGGTCCTCCTCTGCCCTCCTGGGTCTGCTGCCAGTCAAGCCACCTTTGCCAGCAGGGAGCTGAGACAGAGGAAGACCTGTGTGCGAAGGCCAGGGAGAACCTATTCCTAACTGCAAGAGAAATAATCAGAAGCTCCAAGGGCAGCAGGAAAATGGAGAAACCAAGGCATGATTTGTGCGGCCATTCACTCATTCGTTCGTTCATTCATTCGTTGTACGTTTATTGAGGGCCTACTATGTCCAGGCCCCAGCTGAGCCCTGAAGCCACAGCTGGGAATAAGACACCGTTCTCTCCCAGGAACTCCTAGTGGAGTTGGAGACACATGTATCCAGGCAGCGACAAAGCAAGAGGCCCCACAGAACAGGGCCCCACTGAAATCCGAAATGTTCAAGCTGGAAGATTCCCGGGGGAACAGCTGTGATCCTCTAAGCTGAGCTGCGTGGACTTTCTAACTGCCGCCACCTGTAGTGCTGAGAGGACGTGCCAGAGCCAAATACACAGTGGACAGCTTCTCTGAGAGCCTGCGTGGGCCCCTGCAGCAGGGGCCTCCATCTGCCTCCGGCAACAATGCGCACATGCCCGGCAGGGCTCCCTCCGCACAAAGCTTGCGGCTGCCGGTTCCCAAACGTCACTTCATTCAGTCAGTCCTTCCAGTGGCCCTGCTGGCGTCACCAGAGCAGGATGAGGTCTGGAGCAGTCTGTGGGGTCTGGCGCTGATTGGATTTGTTGTCTGGAGGGGAGGAGCCCCCCTGGGGATGAGCTTTGTCGTCTGCTCTCACAGGGCGACCTTTGTAGACCGGGAAATGCGTTGGTCACCAGGCAACTATCTTTCTTCTCCCGGAGGACCCTCTCCCCATCTGATTAAAAGCTGTGGCCAAAAATATCTGTGTTTGTCTCTGTACCAGCGTGAATCATGTGGCTGGTACGCCAGAGGCCAGCTGGTCCCAGAGATGACAGGGAGGGTCTTCATGCCACTGTCCCAACTTTCAGTCAGAGAGGGCCACAGAAACAGACTCAGGCAAGTGCTTAACCTTCCCTGAGCCTCAGTTTCCCCACCTGTAAAATGGCCACAGCAGTTCCTTCCTGATTGAATGGTAGGGGGTGAGGTGAGGATCTGTGTATGTAAAACGCTAAAAACAGTTGGGTGACTTAGGTGCTGTGTGGTAGTTTACTGGTAAACAGCCTCTCTAAAGAGGCAGAGCCGGGCGTGGCACATGCCTGTGATCCCAGCACTCACGGCTGAGGCAGGAAGATAGCCGTGAGTTTGAAGGGAGCCTGGGTACCATAGTGAACTCAGGGCCCTCCTGAACTTGAATTCCATAGCGAGACCCTGTCTCAAACAATCAGACAACCAAACGAACACAGAAAAACCTAAGTGGTAGAGGGACGTCCTGACCGGTGACATTTGCCAATTGCTATAGTGTAAATACCATTATATGGCAAATTTCAAGCTATCAGTTACTTAAGAGTGGACTTGCAGAATTCATGACTATTTAACTTTGTGTGTGTGTGGTACTGGAATTGAA